GATTGGATTCCAGAAGAAGGTGGATATCTGATTGGGAATTTGCAGCCAGCTCACATGGACTTCAGGTTTTTCACACTTGGAAATCTTTGGTCCATTGTATCGTCATTGGGCACCCCAAGACAGAACCAGGCTACTTTAAATCTGATAGAAGCAAAATGGGATGATCTTGTGGGCCATATGCCTCTTAAGATATGTTATCCTGCCTTGGATAATGAAGAGTGGCGCATAACTACTGGTTCTGACCCAAAGAATACGTGAGTTCATACCATAATTTTCCTTTTTGTTGTTTGCAGACCTGAGAATTTTGATTCTTTTTTAATATGAAGCACATTTGTTGAATTCCATTTTCATTATTTGTTAGTCTTTGTAGTCAGAACTGCGAATTCCATTTTTATTATTTGTTAGTCTTTGTAATCAGAATTGATGCTACTGTGTGCATCTTAACCTAAACACCGTGCTTAACTTTTGCAGCCATTGGTCATATCACAATGGTGGATCTTGGCCAACCCTTCTGTGGCAGGTAAATTTTTCCTGATGGCAATGGGTGTATTTTAAGGAAAGCTAAGACTCGTTGTTGGCTATTCTCTTTGGCCTGTGTCTTACCACCTAAACCTTTGAACTCAATGGGGAATAATAATAAGCATGGCAGGAATACATACCAGGTAACCAATAGAAACTCATTCTACTATAATGCGGTAAAGTGGAAATTAAAACCATACACTGCAGAACCTGAAGTAAGAGAAAAATATCCAGAGAGATTAATTCCTCGGTTTTTTAATTGAGAGCAAAATATTTTATAAATAAAACAAAATTATTTTCCAGTTTTGTTGCTGGGACCTTGCATGTCAACTGTCAAGTCATGAACTGTTGCTTTAATTTCTGATATATTCCCTTGCACCTCATCTCATATTCAGTTCACGCTGGCATGCATCAAAATGGGGAGGACTGAACTTGCCCAGAAAGCAGTTGCTTTGGCTGAGAAAAGACTGCCAGTTGATTCTTGGCCTGAATACTATGATACACGCACTGGAAAATTTATCGGAAAACAAGCCCGGATGTATCAAACATGGACCATAGCTGGTTTCCTTACATCCAAGATGCTTTTGAAAGNGGAAAACAAGCCCGGATGTATCAAACATGGACCATAGCTGGTTTCCTTACATCCAAGATGCTTTTGAAAGATCCTGAGACGGCATCCAGGTTATTCTGGGAGGAGGATTATGAGCTTCTAGACATATGTGTTTGTGGACTTAGCAAGAATGGCAGGAAAAGGTGTTCCCGTGGTGCTGCCAGGTCTCAGATTCTTGTATGATGAAAACCTAGTGTTGTGTGAAATTCAGAGTTCAGGGGATCATTGGTATATGCTTATAGTAAAAGTTACATAGGAAGGTTAACATATTCTGCATTGGTATAATTATGGTTGAGAAGGCGTTCCTTTGTTCTAGGATGGCAATTCTTACTTTATTTTAACAATGAGGAAATAGAAGGTTAAAAGTACGTCCTCTTCTTGTATATGAACTAATATTCACATTGATTTATTATTTCACACTATACAGTCGCTCCTTTTCAGCATTTTGTAAGAGTTTCTTTATCTCCCAATACAATTGTTTTACCTTGTTCTGGTTCGTGTTTGACTTCACTTTCTCATCACTGGTCTTAAGATTGAAGGACATTACTAATCATATAGTCAAGGTTGCCGTATAGGATGTTTGCAGAGAACAGTGGCTGTAACACTACCAAGATTAATGATTCACCGTTTAGTTTAAAAGGACGCATTACAAGGTAAATTATAATTATAACCCTTGACTAGAACATTATAGATATTGTGAAAGAAATACTGAGTCCAGAAACTTATCAAGTGATAATTTCAATAGTTATTTTTTTGTTAAGAAAAAAAAATCTGTAGTAGTGCAAGATCCGAAGAACTTGAGGAACAATAGGGAACCACGAACAGAAACAGTTTTGAAAGCCACATTGAATTGAGAAGAAGAATACAAGAATATGAGAAACGTCAATTGAATGTCTTCACATAAGGTCGGAGTTGCTTATATAGCAAAACTGATCAACTAACTCCTACCAGAGTTAACCCCTTACTATTGACTTACTGCAGCCTAGTCCTAACCGACTAATGGCTATAAAAGTTTCCTAACATGGCCCTTCCCTTGAAAGAATCCTTGACCTCAAGGATGGAAGATTAGGAATTTCTTTTTCAAACCGTAGTAGTATTTCCAAGTTGCATCTTCTAGAAGCTGGTGTTTCCATTTCACAAGGCCTTTAGTAACAGGCATGCCTCTTCTTCTAGCTATCATACGATACGTTCAGGCTCCTTTTCCGCAAAAATATCTTCTTGCTGGTAAAGAAGATAAGTGGCAGTAGCCAAGTTGCCCCCATGTTTCTTGAGTTGAGAGACAAGCCTGTATGTAGGCTACACTACCAATGCAGTAAGAGGCTAAAATATTTAGGACTCAGTTTAGAATTGTGCCTGAATGCCATTGATACCTGTCTATAAGGATGTAGCTTCACATAGACAAAATCTCTAATCTTAAATTGCTATCACTTCTATGTTTATCAGCAACCTGTTTCATCCTTTCTTTGGCTCTTCTCAAGTGGAACTTGATTAATTTCATAATTTCTTCTCTTGATTAAACTTTTGTTCACCAATTCTACTTTTGATTCTCTGGGGAGGTAAGGGAGATTGATTGGGTTTGGCTGTCCATACATTATTTCGAAAGGAGTAGCTTTAGTAGCAGTGTGGTAGGAAGTGTTGTACCAGCATTCAGCCAATGGCGGCCACTTTGAACCCTTGTGAGAACCATCATTACACAGACATCTCAGATAAGTTTCCAAGCATCTATTAAATGATAACTTCAGTTTGACCATCTGTCTGCAGATGGTAACTTGATGACAGCTGAACCTAAATCCCGTGCAAAGTCATGAAATTTTAACAAAACTAACTGATAAAAATGGGATCTCTGACACTGGGGCTGGTGCTTGGGAATCCATGCAATTTAAACACATTATCCATATAAGATTGGCCACATCACTGTCTGTATAAAGATGGGACAAATCCATAAAATATGCAGCTTTGCTCAATCTGTCAACCACTACAAATATCACGTTCTTACTGAATGAACTTGGCAAGCCCTCAATGAAATCTATAGTGACATGCTTCCAAATTTGTTCAGGAACTGGAAGAGGTTGATGTAAACCAGGAGCCGCTGAAGAGTCATATTTTTCATTGTTGGCAAATTGTACATCGTTGGATGAACTTCTTGACATCATTGATTACCCCTTTCCAATATACCACATCTTAAACCGGTTTCATAGTAGCATTGATCCCTGAATGTCCTTCCCCAGCAAAAGTGTGCAACCACTTTAAATATCATTCCCTAATGCTAGATCATTGCCAATAACTAACTTGCCCTTCCTTTTCAATTCTCCATGCTGCCATCTATAATGATTTTGAGAAACTGATCCCTCTTGAATTTCTTTGATTAGCTTCTGTAGGTTAGCATCATTCACCCATGACAAATGAATTTTATTTATCCAATCAGCTTGTAACTGATGCATAGGAAGACTATTGTATTCAATCATAACTCTTCTTGAAAGAGCATCAACAACTACATTTTCTAGCCCCTTTTATAATCTATTGAAAAGTCAAACTCCATAAGTTTAACTAGCCATTTTCGCTGAAAATCTATTGACAACCTCTGCTCCAGTATACACTTAAGGTTGTAATGATCTGTTCTGACATTAAAGTGCCTGTTCAAAAGGTAGTGTCTCCATCTCTGAGTCGCAAAGACAACAGCTAATAACTCTTCCTCATGTGTGGCCAAAGATTGTTGCTGCAGATTAGAGGACTCTATTGATATAAGCATAAGGTGTTGATCTTGCATAATAACTGCTCCTATTCCACCACCCGGGGCATCCACTTCCACCACAAAAACTTTAGAAAAATTAGAAAGAGCTAAAACTGGAGTACAATTGAGCAATTCTTTCAGTTTCTGAAATGCCAGTTTAGCATCTAGGGTCCCACTAAATCCATTTTTTTTAACATATTAGTTAAGGGTTTTACTACTATTCAATACCCTTTCACAAACCTTCTATAATATCCCACGACACCAAGAAACCCTCTCAATTGTTTGATAGTCTGTGTAAGAGGGCAGTTGAGCATAGCTTCAGTTTTATTTGGATCTGTAGATACGCCTGAACCATAAATGAAATGCCAAGGTGTTCTACTTTACAAACAACAAAATAGCATTTACTCCTCTTAGCGAACAATTAATTGTTCCTAAGAGTGAGTTTCAACAGACCAAAGTGTTCTTCCAAGGTCTTCCTATATACCAAAATATGATAAAAAGAACAATAAGTGTCGTCTCAAGAATTACTGAAATACTGTATTCATTAACCACTGAAAGGTTGCTGGAGCATAAGTGAGACCAAATGGCATCACTACATGCTCATAGTATTCCCTATGAGTCCTAAAAGCTATCTTGTACACATCCAAGGGATCCATCTTCACTTGGTTATAGCCAGACTGAAGGTCAATCTTGGATAAGATTGAAGATCCAGGAAGCTCATCTAATAAATCATCTACTAAGGGAAACTCATTCTTCAAAGTGTTCTTATTAAGTTCCTTGTAATCGATGATCCTTCTTTTTTACCCACCAAAATCACTTAACTAGTAAAATGACTAGTACTATTTTGAATGAATAGAGTTGTAGAACTGAAATGTGCTCCCCTGCCGCTAAGGCTTTATTGAACTGTTGAGCCTTGGTAGACTTGCCACTATTATTTGATTATGGATTCCATGGTAACTTGTCAAAATTTCGAATTATGTCATCCAATGTAATTAGCCACTCTATCCTTAACAACAAATCACAACAGCCAAGTGGGGTTACAAACATGTCTGAGGTTCCTCGATTTGTCACCCCAATTTCTGAGCCATGTCAACATCCAGAAAATTGTGTGTGGATCCACTATCAATCAAGATGTTTAGAGGATTCTTTTGCTTGTATCATGTGATTCACATGATTCTGAAATTTACCACACCAGTCAACGCATTCATTGATATTTGAGGAGAGTTCTTATCAGAGTCATTAAATGAACTACCAACAGGGTCTACAGATTCACGTAAGTCCTCCTTTCCCTGAGCCTCCAAAACATGCACCTAAATCTTTTTGTGTTAAACTATGCTCTTGCGAATATAGCACATCACATAAATAACATAGTTTTTTTGCTCTTCTTTCACTTGTATAAATAGGGGTTAAAATCCTGTTATTTCTGACCTTAGGACTAGTTTCCATATTAGACCGATAACCAAAGTTAGGAGCAGTCTTAGTAGGATTAATCGAGGCGACAAGTTTAGATCTAAGATTCGTTTCTGAGGCGTAGGTAGCACAACAGATTGAATAGAAGGGAATTGGCTGCTTCATACATTCTTGCCAAGGTAAAGGCTCGTCTCACTGCTGTAGGCTGAAATATACTAACCAACTTGTGGATTTCTTTCTTTAAACCCCCTAAAATGCAACTCAACATATAGTCCTCACTAAGATTCCGTCTCATCGAGATTGAATCAAGGTCCTCTTGTACTCAGACACAAATTTCTTCTGCCACAAACAACCTCATCAACTCAGCTATAGGTTCATCACAAATTTGTCCAAACTGCTCAATGAGTAATCTTGTATATTAGGTTCAAGAAATCATTGGAGAATAATGTGCTGACCTGACCATAGCCGTATGCCATTACAAAGCGTGTCCCCCATATGACAATTGCAAGTTTGACTCGAACATTGTCAGGCGTATTATCATTTAAGAAGTAGTTTTCGCATTGAAATATCCTTGATGGATAGCTTATCCAGAAAAACGAGGGAAATTGATTCTTGCCAATCTTGTTCCACAACAATATGAAGAAGAACGATGGTTCTCACCTCTAGAATTCACTCCAGTAGAATTGCCAAAAACATCATCAAAATTTTGCTTGACCAATTCTTGAATTTGATCTTTAAAAGAATCACCCACGGTTTTTTTCATTGAACCCACAAGTTCCAGTAAACGCGTTTCTAATCTTGTACACACGTGTTCTTCCAAATCTCTAATTGCCGCTGCATTATGGGTACCCTCTGTCATAGCTGATACTGTGAATGGACTGTTAAGGCTTATACTAACTGTTAAGAAATTATTTTCTAGTTTTCTAGTTCTAGGAATGCAAGGTCCAAAGAACTTGAGGAACAATAGGGAACCACGTAAAGAAACAGTTTCAAAAGCTATATTGAATTGAGAAGAAGAATACAAGAATATGAGAAAAGTCAATTACATGTCTTCACATAAGGTAAGAGTTGCCTTATATAGCAAAACTGACCAACTAACTCCTCGGAGTTAATCCTTCACTATTGACTTATTGAAGCCTAGTCCTAACTGACTAATGGCTATACAAATCTCCTAACATATTTATATTTATGTTCCGGACTTCAGGCCATGTTCATAAAAGGCCAATTATGCTAGTTGCCAGAACAGTTCTCAATTATATGAGCTTATTCAGAACATGTGTTTGTGAAATTTCAACATCTGTATCCATCCCCAAACCTGTATCATGGCATCATCCTGACACACAAATAAGAGAGTTGGTTGCATGGGCATTTTTGGAAGATGGTGTTTACTGAGAAGTTACTGTCCTCTTTTGGTTTTCAATTCAACCTTGGTGGTAAAAAGCTATCTTCACAGCATCCAATTGAATGAACTGTTTCCCCCTAAGGATTTGACCATTTAGCCAATGATATTTTAATATTCTTCTTGATAAGAGCTCAATCAAAGAGGCATGTGTTTTGTTTGAAGAAATGCCCCATAGAAATGTGATCACCTAAATGCCATCATCAATGGAAACAATTTGTGCAACCGCTATAAGCATGGATGGAGTGTCTTTCTTCAAATGCTTAGAGATGGGGCATAGCCCATTGAATTCACCATATCTGCTATTTTGAATGCAGGGTTTGAAAGCTCTTTGTGTGGCCAATTAGCTCATGCTTTGGCCATCAAGATTGGTGTCCTAGGATGATCCATATATGTTGACAATGCACTCATAGACATGTATGCCACTTGCTGCAATGCCATGGACTACACAAAAATGGTTTTTGAGGATATCACAACCAAACTTATGACTGTCGGACTACTTTGACCACTGGATACACTCAGAGCAGACATATGCCATGGTCTTAGAATTTTCTGTCAAATGTTTCTGGTATGTTTTTTCTTAATCCCTCTTGTCTTGCTTCAAAGCCATATCTATTTTTACTTAATTGTTTTATTTATTAGTGTTCTAAATAGCACAGCACAATTTCTTGTTGACAAACAGGAGGAAGGACCACCAAGTCCCTTTAGCTTCTCAATCCCGCACTTCTGTCTTTATTTGTTTCGGTTTTTAGGGTAAGTATGGAGTTGAGTCCAACCTTCCTATTATGCATTCCATGCTACACATAGTGTCATTATGTTTTCAGAGTCAAAACAATTATTATCTGAAATGACTCGGAAAGACATCATCGTCACATTGAATACTTTGATAGCTGGATTTAGAAAGTTTTAATCAAGATTGCTTCTCCTATAGATGCATTTACTAACTTAGCAGTTCTATCTTGTGGCCAACAGCTTCACAGTGTAATAGTTCATACAGGCCTTGATAACAACTTGGAAATATCCAATGCCCTAATTTATATGTATGCCAAGTGTGGAAATACAGCTTATTCACAAGAAATATTTAACAAATGTTATTCACAAATCTGGTCTTTTGGACTTCAATGGTGAATGACCTCTGGGATCATGGATATGGTAGAAAAGCTGCTGAACTTTTCAATGAAATTGTAGGATCAGGTACTAAACTAGATAGGATATTGTTTATCACAATTGCTTGTGGCCAGGACTAGTGGGTGAAGGACTGAGACATTTTATCTTATAGCTCTGAAAAAGTGAAGCAAACTTGTTAACTAATTGAGAATATACAATTTCAGTCAGATGGGTCTATATGAGAGGCTTATAAATTGCATGATCAACCCAGTGTGGCCAAATTAGCATGTTATAAGGGATTCGGATATGAAGCCAATAGGAACTTATGCCTTGATATCAAATATTTATGCTGCTGAAGCCAATTAGACTGATTTTTCTAGTTTGAAAAATTAAAGTGAAGTATTAGAAATAAAAGTGACTTGAGAAGGAGTTGGATTGATCTGAGAAGAGGTCTGCAGTTTTGTTGTTGGATTGTTCCAAAACTTTTTATAAAAGTGGTAAAAACACTGAAACTTTATATGATTAAAAAAACATTTTAACCCTAACAAGTAAACCTATTTAAACAACTATAAATAATAATCTGTTTTGCTGTTATTGTTATATTAAATTTTGTTACAAAGCATTACAATCATATAATTTATTTATCTTTGTTGATCAGGCCTGTGTACATTTTAATAGTTGGTTTTACAATAATTTTCTTTTCTATTCATTATTTTTTGTTAAGAAAGATAAAAATATAATAGTACATAAACACATCTTGAAACAGGACCAGTGAAGCAGATATTATAAGTCATTTAATATTTTATTGAAAATATAAAAGTTAATTTTTTAGTTAAAAAAACGTTCAAACTGCTGTCAGAAGAAAGATAGAGAGTATTAAATATGTTTTTGGTAAAATGTTGGAACTCAAAATTAATCAAATAATTCTATATCTTGTTTAAATTTTAAATAAATAATGTATTAGGTTATATTATATACAAACAAAATTATATATATAAATGATTACTAATTTTAAAATAAGTGTTTTTTATTTATTTCAAAAGCCTAAAACTTACAAAAGAAATTACATAGAAAAAAAAACTCAAAAAAATAACAACGTAGTTTATAATAAAGTTGTTTTAATGTATATTTTTTTTTCATTTTATTTGTTTTAATTATTAAAAAATAAGTTGTTTAGTCAAATGTTATCCTACAATATGCTCTTATTAACAAAACTACAACTTTTAACAAGTTTATTTTAACAAAATCTTAGTAATTTGGTTGAACGATCTTGCACATTATATTATATATTTTTTCCTAAATTTATTTTTACAAAAAATATTTCTATATACTTATAAATATTTCCACATAATCAAACATTTACAAATACAAGGATCATCTCATTGTAAAATGAATACAAATAAGAATGTGTGTGATGAGACTACAAAAAGTCATTTAAGCCTTAAGTATCAATTCCAATTTTTACTAACTCCAAAGCAAGCCATAAATAATCCATACTGAACTTGCATTACCATTGTGCTAAATTGTTTCTTCCCAATGTCTGCTTAATATTTATGTTTCCCAAATTATGAGATTATTTTTATGGCCTCAATTTATTATTCTTTTCTTTTAATGTTAATTTTTTTTTTCTTTCTTTAATTGACAATTGAAAGAGATTGATTTTCTCTACCTAAATTATCAAGATTTCATCAAACAATTTATAGGAAACCCTTTATTTCTTTTACATATTTTGTACCTTTTTATACTTATTATAAAATTTTCTTAGCTGAGTTGTAAAAAAAAAAGATTCCAATAAATAAATATATGTTGCAGAAGAATAATTAAGACTGCATACGCATTAGAATGTGAAGAGTTCCCAAGAAGAGACTAGTATCTTCGCATTCCCGCCAACTGCATATATAAAACACATTCTCTCTTATTCCGTTCCGTTTAAATTTCCGCAACTGGTACAAACCCTAAACCAAGAATACAATGGTGCCGAAGCCTAAAACCGAAAGTGCATCGGGTTCCGCCGCCTTCTTCAAACCAGGTACTGTGGTGGAAGTCAGCTCTGAGGATGAAGGCTTCCGTGGCTCCTGGTTTTCCGGCACCATCATCCGCCATCTTGCTTCTGACAGGTTCCTAGTAGAGTACCACAACCTGATGGCAGACGATAAAAGCTCAAAGCATTTGAGGGAAATTTTGCATATGCGTCAACTGCGGCCCATCCTCCCACCAGAGACAGACCAAATATTCAAATTTGGGGATGAGGTTGACGCATTCTATAACGACGGTTGGTGGGAGGGATTTATAACTGAGGAATTAGAGAATGACAGATTTGCAGTGTATTTCAGGGCGTCCAAGGAGCAATTAGTGTTTTCCAAAGAACAACTCAGAATCCATCGAGAATGGTTCGATCACAAATGGGTCCCGCCACTCCAACAGGTATATTCATCTCTTAATTTTATTTATATATTCCGGGTCATAACCTGAAAATTTTAAACTAGAGGAGTAGGCCTAATTTGGTTATAGTTTAATGTTATGACGACAGTGTTGTTAATTACAGAAAAACGATGAATCTAATGAAGCTGCAAAGCCAGATGAATCTAATGAAGCTGCAAAGCCAGATNCTGAAATACTGTATTCATTAACCACTGAAAGGTTGCTGGAGCATAAGTGAGACCAAATGGCATCACTACATGCTCATAGTATTCCCTATGAGTCCTAAAAGCTATCTTGTACACATCAAAGGGATCCATCTTCACTTGGTTATAGCCAGACTGAAGGTCAATCTTGGATAAGATTGAAGATCCAGGAAGCTCATCTAATAAATCATCTACTAAGGGAAACTCATTCTTCAAAGTGTTCTTATTAAGTTCCTTGTAATCGATGATCCTTCTTTTTTACCCACCAAAATCACTTAACTAGTAAAATGACTAGTACTATTTTGAATGAATAGAGTTGTAGAACTGAAATGTGCTCCCCTGCCGCTAAGGCTTTATTGAACTGTTGAGCCTTGGTAGACTTGCCACTATTATTTGATTATGGATTCCATGGTAACTTGTCAAAATTTCGAATTATGTCATCCAATGTAATTAGCCACTCTATCCTTAACAACAAATCACAACAGCCAAGTGGGGTTACAAACATGTCTGAGGTTCCTCGATTTGTCACCCCAATTTCTGAGCCATGTCAACATCCAGAAAATTGTGTGTGGATCCACTATCAATCAAGATGTTTAGAGGATTCTTTTGCTTGTATCATGTGATTCACATGATTCTGAAATTTACCACACCAGTCAACGCATTCATTGATATTTGAGGAGAGTTCTTATCAGAGTCATTAAATGAACTACCAACAGGGTCTACAGATTCACGTAAGTCCTCCTTTCCCTGAGCCTCCAAAACATGCACCTAAATCTTTTTGTGTTAAACTATGCTCTTGCGAATATAGCACATCACATAAATAACATAGTTTTTTTGCTCTTCTTTCACTTGTATAAATAGGGGTTAAAATCCTGTTATTTCTGACCTTAGGACTAGTTTCCATATTAGACCGATAACCAAAGTTAGGAGCAGTCTTAGTAGGATTAATCGAGGCGACAAGTTTAGATCTAAGATTCGTTTCTGAGGCGTAGGTAGCACAACAGATTGAATAGAAGGGAATTGGCTGCTTCATACATTCTTGCCAAGGTAAAGGCTCGTCTCACTGCTGTAGGCTGAAATATACTAACCAACTTGTGGATTTCTTTCTTTAAACCCCCTAAAATGCAACTCAACATATAGTCCTCACTAAGATTCCGTCTCATCGAGATTGAATCAAGGTCCTCTTGTACTCAGACACAAATTTCTTCTGCCACAAACAACCTCATCAACTCAGCTATAGGTTCATCACAAATTTGTCCAAACTGCTCAATGAGTAATCTTGTATATTAGGTTCAAGAAATCATTGGAGAATAATGTGCTGACCTGACCATAGCCGTATGCCATTACAAAGCGTGTCCCCCATATGACAATTGCAAGTTTGACTCGAACATTGTCAGGCGTATTATCATTTAAGAAGTAGTTTTCGCATTGAAATATCCTTGATGGATAGCTTATCCAGAAAAACGAGGGAAATTGATTCTTGCCAATCTTGTTCCACAACAATATGAAGAAGAACGATGGTTCTCACCTCTAGAATTCACTCCAGTAGAATTGCCAAAAACATCATCAAAATTTTGCTTGACCAATTCTTGAATTTGATCTTTAAAAGAATCACCCACGGTTTTTTTCATTGAACCCACAAGTTCCAGTAAACGCGTTTCTAATCTTGTACACACGTGTTCTTCCAAATCTCTAATTGCCGCTGCATTATGGGTACCCTCTGTCATAGCTGATACTGTGAATGGACTGTTAAGGCTTATACTAACTGTTAAGAAATTATTTTCTAGTTTTCTAGTTCTAGGAATGCAAGGTCCAAAGAACTTGAGGAACAATAGGGAACCACGTAAAGAAACAGTTTCAAAAGCTATATTGAATTGAGAAGAAGAATACAAGAATATGAGAAAAGTCAATTACATGTCTTCACATAAGGTAAGAGTTGCCTTATATAGCAAAACTGACCAACTAACTCCTCGGAGTTAATCCTTCACTATTGACTTATTGAAGCCTAGTCCTAACTGACTAATGGCTATACAAATCTCCTAACATATTTATATTTATGTTCCGGACTTCAGGCCATGTTCATAAAAGGCCAATTATGCTAGTTGCCAGAACAGTTCTCAATTATATGAGCTTATTCAGAACATGTGTTTGTGAAATTTCAACATCTGTATCCATCCCCAAACCTGTATCATGGCATCATCCTGACACACAAATAAGAGAGTTGGTTGCATGGGCATTTTTGGAAGATGGTGTTTACTGAGAAGTTACTGTCCTCTTTTGGTTTTCAATTCAACCTTGGTGGTAAAAAGCTATCTTCACAGCATCCAATTGAATGAACTGTTTCCCCCTAAGGATTTGACCATTTAGCCAATGATATTTTAATATTCTTCTTGATAAGAGCTCAATCAAAGAGGCATGTGTTTTGTTTGAAGAAATGCCCCATAGAAATGTGATCACCTAAATGCCATCATCAATGGAAACAATTTGTGCAACCGCTATAAGCATGGATGGAGTGTCTTTCTTCAAATGCTTAGAGATGGGGCATAGCCCATTGAATTCACCATATCTGCTATTTTGAATGCAGGGTTTGAAAGCTCTTTGTGTGGCCAATTAGCTCATGCTTTGGCCATCAAGATTGGTGTCCTAGGATGATCCATATATGTTGACAATGCACTCATAGACATGTATGCCACTTGCTGCAATGCCATGGACTACACAAAAATGGTTTTTGAGGATATCACAACCAAACTTATGACTGTCGGACTACTTTGACCACTGGATACACTCAGAGCAGACATATGCCATGGTCTTAGAATTTTCTGTCAAATGTTTCTGGTATGTTTTTTCTTAATCCCTCTTGTCTTGCTTCAAAGCCATATCTATTTTTACTTAATTGTTTTATTTATTAGTGTTCTAAATAGCACAACACAATTTCTTGTTGACAAACAGGAGGAAGGACCACCAAGTCCCTTTAGCTTCTCAATCCCGCACTTCTGTCTTTATTTGTTTCGGTTTTTAGGGTAAGTATGGAGTTGAGTCCAACCTTCCTATTATGCATTCCATGCTACACATAGTGTCATTATGTTTTCAGAGTCAAAACAATTATTATCTGAAATGACTAGGAAAGACATCATCGTCACATTGAATACTTTGATAGCTGGATTTAGAAAGTTTTAATCAAGATTGCTTCTCCTATAGATGCATTTACTAACTTAGCAGTTCTATCTTGTGGCCAACAGCTTCACAGTGTAATAGTTCATACAGGCCTTGATAACAACTTGGAAATATCCAATGCCCTAATTTATATGTATGCCAAGTGTGGAAATACAGCTTATTCACAAGAAATATTTAACAAATGTTATTCACAAATCTGGTCTTTTGGACTTCAATGGTGAATGACCTCTGGGATCATGGATATGGTAGAAAAGCTGCTGAACTTTTCAATGAAATTGTAGGATAAGGTACTAAACTAGATAGGATATTGTTTATCACAATTGCTTGTGGCCAGGACTAGTGGGTGAAGGACTGAGACATTTTATCTTATAGCTCTGAAAAAGTGAAGCAAACTTGTTAACTAATTGAGAATATACAATTTCAGTCAGATGGGTCTATATGAGAGGCTTATAAATTGCATGATCAACCCAGTGTGGCCAAATTAGCATGTTATAAGGGATTCGGATATGAAGCCAATAGGAACTTATGCCTTGATATCAAATATTTATGCAGCTGAAGCCAATTAGACTGATTTTTCTAGTTTGAAAAATTAAAGTGAAGTATTAGAAATAAAAGTGACTTGAGAAGGAGTTGGATTGATCTGAGAAGAGGTCTGCAGTTTTGTTGTTGGATTGTTCCAAAACTTTTTATAAAAGTGGTAAAAACACTGAAACTTTATATGATTAAAAAAACATTTTAACCCTAACAAGTAAACCTATTTAAACAACTATAAATAATAATCTGTTTTGCTGTTATTGTTATATTAAATTTTGTTACAAAGCATTACAATCATATAATTTATTTATCTTTGTTGATCAGGCCTGTGTACATTTTAATAGTTGGTTTTACAATAATTTTCTTTTCTATTCATTATTTTTTGTTAAGAAAGATAAAAATATAATAGTACATAAACACATCTTGAAACAGGACCAGTGAAGAAGATATTATAAGTCATTTAATATTTTATTGAAAATATAAAAGTTAATTTTTTAGTTAAAAAAACGTTCAAACTGCTGTCAGAAGAAAGATAGAGAGTATTAAATATGTTTTTGGTAAAATGTTGGAACTCAAAATTAATCAAATAATTCTATATCTTGTTTAAATTTTAAATAAATAATGTATTAGGTTATATTATATACAAACAAAATTATATATATAAATGATTACTAATTTTAAAATAAGTGTTTTTTATTTATTTCAAAAGCCTAAAACTTACAAAAGAAATTACATAGAAAAAAAAACTCAAAAAAATAACAACGTAGTTTATAATAAAGTTGTTTTAATGTATATTTTTTTTTCATTTTATTTGTTTTAATTATTAAAAAATAAGTTGTTTAGTCAAATGTTATCCTACAATATGCTCTTATTAACAAAACTACAACTTTTAACNATAATTCTATATCTTGTTTAAATTTTAAATAAATAATGTATTAGGTTATATTATATACAAACAAAATTATATATATAAATGATTACTAATTTTAAAATAAGTGTTTTTTATTTATTTCAAAAGCCTAAAACTTACAAAAGAAATTACATAGAAAAAAAAACTCAAAAAAATAACAACGTAGTTTATAATAAAGTTGTTTTAATGTATATTTTTTTTTCATTTTATTTGTTTTAATTATTAAAAAATAAGTTGTTTAGTCAAATGTTATCCTACAATATGCTCTTATTAACAAAACTACAACTTTTAACAAGTTTATTTTAACAAAATCTTAGTAATTTGGTTGAACGATCTTGCACATTATATTATATATTTTTTCCTAAATTTATTTTTACAAAAAATATTTCTATATACTTATAAATATTTCCACATAATCAAACATTTACAAATACAAGGATCATCTCATTGTAAAATGAATACAAATAAGAATGTGTGTGATGAGACTACAAAAAGTCATTTAAGCCTTAAGTATCAATTCCAATTTTTACTAACTCCAAAGCAAGCCATAAATAATCCATACTGAACTTGCATTACCATTGTGCTAAATTGTTTCTTCCCAATGTCTGCTTAATATTTATGTTTCCCAAATTATGAGATTATTTTTATGGCCTCAATTTATTATTCTTTTCTTTTAATGTTAATTTTTTTTTTCTTTCTTTAATTGACAATTGAAAGAGATTGATTTTCTCTACCTAAATTATCAAGATTTCATCAAACAATTTATAGGAAACCCTTTATTTCTTTTACATATTTTGTACCTTTTTATACTTATTATAAAATTTTCTTAGCTGAGTTGTAAAAAAAAAAGATTCCAATAAATAAATATATGTTGCAGAAGAATAATTAAGACTGCATACGCATTAGAATGTGAAGAGTTCCCAAGAAGAGACTAGTATCTTCGCATTCCCGCCAACTGCATATATAAAACACATTCTCTCTTATTCCGTTCCGTTTAAATTTCCGCAACTGGTACAAACCCTAAACCAAGAATACAATGGTGCCGAAGCCTAAAACCGAAAGTGCATCGGGTTCCGCCGCCTTCTTCAAACCAGGTACTGTGGTGGAAGTCAGCTCTGAGGATGAAGGCTTCCGTGGCTCCTGGTTTTCCGGCACCATCATCCGCCATCTTGCTTCTGACAGGTTCCTAGTAGAGTACCACAACCTGATGGCAGACGATAAAAGCTCAAAGCATTTGAGGGAAATTTTGCATATGCGTCAACTGCGGCCCATCCTCCCACCAGAGACAGACCAAATATTCAAATTTGGGGATGAGGTTGACGCATTCTATAACGACGGTTGGTGGGAGGGATTTATAACTGAGGAATTAGAGAATGACAGATTTGCAGTGTATTTCAGGGCGTCCAAGGAGCAATTAGTGTTTTCCAAAGAACAACTCAGAATCCATCGAGAATGGTTCGATCACAAATGGGTCCCGCCACTCCAACAGGTATATTCATCTCTTAATTTTATTTATATATTCAGGGTCATAACCTGAAAATTTTAAACTAGAGGAGTAGGCTTAATTTGGTTATAGTTTAATGTTATGACGACAGTGTTGTTAATTACAGAAAAACGATGAATCTAATGAAGCTGCAAAGCCAGATGAATCTAATGAAGCTGCAAAGCCAGATGAATCTAATGAAGCTGCAAAGCCAGATGAATTTGTCCAAGGGGCTATAGTCGAGGTTAGCAGTGATGAAGAGGGGTTCAGTGGAGCTTGGTTTGAAGCCACTATTGTTGAAGCAAAGGGAAATGACAAGTTCGTTGTTGAGTACCAGACTCTGTTAGCTGATGATGATTCTAATCTTTTGAGAGAGGAGATTGATATCTTTCACATAAGGCCTCCTCCGCCCAATACTAATGTTGACGGTCAATTCAATCTTCTTGACGAAGTGGATGCCCTGTACAATGACGGTTGGTGGGTGGGTGTGATTTCAAAAGTTCTTGCCGACTCCAAGTATGTGATTTATTTCAGGTCTTCTAACGAGGAACTAGAGTTTCATCACTCCCATTTGAGGCTGCATCAGGACTGGATTCATGGAAAATGGGCTATGCCTTCTAAGGTATGCACAGTATTTACTGAAACTCTCTGATCATGCATGCATGTTATTACTTTTTTAAGAATTTCACATGACAACTTATAGTAAAAAGTAGTTTGAGATTCATTTCAGTCTCTATCTTGATTGAAAATGTATATTCTCATGTTAGATTCACATGTGAAAATTCAGCATATGAAGGTTCATTGTCATTTAATTTGATGGTTTTATCTGGAAAATTTGCATTTAATCATGTTAAGATAATTACCAACATAAATAATTGAGTGACTAGGTTTAGTAGGTCGGAATCAAGATATTAAATAGTGCCACCGTGGAGGTGTAGTGAGACAAAATTTGGGATTTCAATTTCTAAACTTGAAATCTATAACTGCAATAGTCAAAATGATAGAGACTTGAAATTAGAAGATGATGATGGATGATTCCCATTTGAAAACTTGTACTTGAATTTTGTAGTTATATTTACTTGAAAGTTTTTCTTTGGTCTTCTGGCACTAGGGTAGCGTAGTTTTTTTATTTTTTATGTGTTTAATGCACCTATGCCTTTCTATATTCAATTCAAATGTCACACACTTTGATTAGCCTTGATCACTTTTGAGAATTCTTATGTATATAGTATGCTGGAATAAGCTAATAAAAATTTTCAGAATTCCTGCTATATGCTATCCTGCTATACTGTTTTGGGGTCAGCTGCTATATTGTTCTTTAAAGGAACAATATCCAAACCTGTTCAAAATGATTTACTTCACTACTTCTTAGCCCAAACTTTTGAAGAATAGACCTAAATTTTTCAAACCAAGCACATGGTGATTGATTGAGGCCATATAAAGTGTGATGCAATTTGCATACTATATCACCTAAATTTTTCAAACCAAGCGCTTGAGGCGTGATGCAATTTGCATACTATATCAAACTCCTCACGAACAACAAACTCAAGATTGCTCCATATAAACTTCTTTTTTAAGATCACCATGGAGGAAGACGGTTTTTTATATCCAATTGATGAAGTGACCAATGACAAATTGTTGCCACTGAAAATAAAAGATGAATAGTAGTCATCTTGGCCAAGTAATTGATATACTGTTGAATTTCAAGTTATTGAATCATATAATACTAATTCATGCAAAAAATAATCTTTAGATGATTACTAGCTTTCAACGCCTTTGGTTAAAAAATTTCAGGCGATGAAGTTGTGAACGCTGAAGATAACAAGAGGTAGAAGAAAAAACCCGGATTCGGTTCAGTCACTCGTCAGAACTTACCAGTTTGTTCGGATCCATACTCGAACTCATCTCACCGGATATGCTAATGACCACTTTAGATTCTGATTGTGTAGCTTTGCTTTAGACATTGACCTTTGACATTTTCTGGTAAGTATAGCCAGTACATAATTCTCTCGAAATTGCAATTTTTGCTTGTGTGCAGTCCTTTTGTCATTTGATTTGCTACGTGCAACACCAATATTTTTCCTAATGACAAATATCATGGATTGCATTGAATAACAGATAAGCCATAACGAGAAAAATGTTTTACTAAAAAAATGCTATTAGTATTCTTACAATTATTAGTATTATGTGTCGTGTATTGTGAGTATTTAATTCGAATCAACGATGTGAAGAGCAGCGCGCCATAGCTTTTCACTCCTGTAAAATAGTCAAGTCCCATGTGTTTGTTGCGTTAGCACTGACTTTTCTTTTGGCGCATTAATGTTGGTTTATTTTGGCAATTAAAACTTGATAAGTGGTGGTTGGTAGGGCCTAATGCTTCTTTTAATGACGTTGATGTTAAACTTCTTCCTAAATATTAAAAATTGATCACTTAATTATACCCAAAATAAAGATAAGCAAAACAGTAAGGAAAGTACATTACTTGATCAGCTCAGATTCTCTGCTGCTGAAACATTATCTACATGAGTCCCAATCATTAAAAATAAAGTTTACAGTTTAAATTATAAATAAATAGTAAGTTAAAAATTGTTCACCCTTAGATTTAAGACTCATGATCCTGCAGTTTCTTTTCAACTGCAGATGATCCTTAATCTTTAATTTCTTGGCATACTGTTATCTTGTTAGTGGTTTCTTTTTCTAGTTTTTCATTTTTGAGAAAAATAAGGGTGAATGGCGGACATATTAAGCTTCTCTTTTCAATGTATTTATTTTCTCATGTCATGCTTCGCTCTCCAGAGAGTGTGAATACAATGACGCCATAAATGTTTTTATACTCAAAATTATAAATTATCAGAGGTTTTTTTATCTCTTTCTTTGATACATGGTCATATAATTAAATATTATTTAATTTTGAAAAGAAACTATTTAAAAAGTCAATAAAGATAGTTTTTAATAATTTTTTAACGAAAATAGGTATAGAGAAGGCCCACTTACCATCCAACTAGATTGACAATAATTTTTAATTAATTAATAGGATAATGGTGTATCAAAATAAAATTCTGATAATAATTAAAACAAAGAATGATATCCAAGCTTCATTTGCTCATCACACCCAATTTAAACCTGAATCGCGCAAATCACTCGTTAATAAAATTTTCAAATTGTAGAAAATCCTTAAAAATAGCCTATAGATTTGCTTCTCATAGATATCTTTTCATTCCAAACCATGAAGATGAGAGCTGTTTACTGCATCACAAGGTGCTGAACCACAACAGGAAACTGAGGATCAGTTTAACTTAATTAAGAAAATGTGAAATCATATCAGAAACATAAGAGAACAAATTTCAATACTAATACAAATTTATAACTTAAGCATCGTTTTCTCTTTCAAAGTGTAGATAGCTTAGATGCCAATATAGCTGATACATAGTTAGCTAGATATAGCTGTAGCTGTAATACAACTGAGACATGAAACCTATAGAATATAATGAACTTATTATAATATAACAGTGAGAGGAAGAAGAATCAAACTTCTTGAACTTCAACAGCATTACCAACTTGTTTCACTTGCTTCTCTTCTTCTTTTTCTTCTTTATTCTTGAGCTCCTTAACTGGCTCCTCAATCACAAAAGCTGAGACAGGGAATGTCCTGAACAACGCTGTAGGGGTCTTGAAGGTGATCTTCCCACTGGGTGGATCATCAACAAAGATCTCATTCAGTGTCACCCAAATCAAGAGTTCCTTCGCCTTCACACCAGTGAGCTTCTTTATCTTACCAACCTCAACAAAGGCTGTGATCTCAGTTGCATAGGACACTAGCTTCCCAATCTTCTCAAACTTGTGGTTTATGGTCTTCTTCTGCTTCAGCCACACAAACCCACTTTCCTTCTCGTACCCACACTCTTCAATGTCCTTCAAGGGCAAAAGCCCATTGGGTAGCCCTACCTCCTTCAGCAGCAACTTGGTCTTTTCTTGGCACAGTTCATCTCCATGGTACACCTCAGATTTGGCCTTCATCTCTGCAGAAACTTGACTCATTTTCACTTCTTTTCTGATACTATGATCGGTTAACGTTTGGTATGTGATGGTGAATGATGAAGGTGGGGTTGATATATATAGCTCAAGGGCTATCTCTTTGCCCTTGTATCTCCCATAAACTTCAACAAATGCCACCGTCACAGTTCATAATGTGCCCCCATACTCACTTTAAATTTTATAGTATGTTATGTGTTGTGTAGTACTCACTATTAAGGTAGTTGGTGAGCAAAAACGTGTGTCTTAAATGCTTCTCTGCATGTTGTTAATATATGGCTGAAGCTGTATTAAAAGAGTATTCAAATGAGGGTCTTTTTGCAGTAAAATTTTCAATCAAATTCGTTTGAGAAAGGTGTACTTTTCTTTCTCACTGTTATAGCTATGCCAAGTATTGGGAAATGCATTCAAAACGGTCAGAAATGACAGCATTCATGTAACAACACTTTACTCCTGTCTGATAAAGATCGAACGAATTGTGTTATAAATGTGTGTTCTGTTCTGAATCTGATTTAATAGGAGTTGTTCGATTGTCACTGGTGACGGTTGAGATTTGGTGACTGGGTAAATGCATGCTATTGCAGGTTGCAAGCAATTAAAATTCTAATTTTACCGTTTAATGAAGCTGATATGTTAACCAACCATCTTAATTGTATGCAAATACATATATGTGGTTTTCATTTAATTAAAAAGAAAATATTAAATTTTTTTACTATGCATTAATATGAAGTGTTTATTAATTTTATTGATAATTATTTTCTATTGAATAATTTGACTAATTATTTTTAAGGACATGTTTCTCGATAATTATGTTATTTTTGCATAAAACATTAATCTAATTAAATTATTGACCGTTTTCTTGTTTTTCTTTGTTTGCAACTACATAGAGTTAGCTCACCTGTGGACATAGCTCATTTTCTAATTAACAAAACGCATTTATATCTCTTTAATTATAACTAAATTATTTATTCTTTCACAAGTTATCTCCTGAAAATTTAATTATTAACTTGTATGCCATGTACCTACCGTTATGACAATGTTTTTGGGGTATCGGATTTTCTTTTTGAAAGCACTCTAATTATCCAAGAGATTGAATGAATTTTAAATAATGATCTTCATCCTTTTAAGTTACGTTGGTTCGTTTTCTCTCTTCTTGTTGTGTCCAGTCGTGTGGGTGAATACTTATAAAAACACTCTAATACTCAAGTCATTAATATAACGGATTAGTTAACACAATAAGTGATACATATAGTGTGCAGGATCTCTTAAGTCATACCTGAAACCTTAATTTATAGTAGTTGTGATAAACGTTTACTTTTTGCTAGTTTAATGATTGTTCAATCACATCTTAACATGCGTTAAGAGTTTAATGAGTCATTACCACTAATAATTTGATCATAATCATACTGAATATGACTTAGGTGGTGGTATGGATAGTGTTTGATCCCAAAAAAGATCATAGAATACAACAATCTAAAAAAGTTGATATATATATATATATATATATATATATATAATATATATATAATAGCTATAGAAATATATATATTACATTATGTGTATATGTAAGGAATAAAAGTGTAAAGTTGCACAATCCATTCCATTCCATGCTTGAGTCACTTGTATATTTTAAATGTCGTATATTTCGTTAATATGAATTTAATACGAGACATACATCTTCATTCAATCTTGAATGTAAGATTAAACATTAATAATAATACTGGAGAGTAAAATGTGACTAGATGGTTACTTTATTTATGTTTTCTTTTCAACTTGATCAGAGGTTCATAGCATACGTGTAGGAACGAACATACAGAGATATGTACATATGTCCTGATTCATAAATACTCACCATCAAAGTATCATTATGTGTTTGTTTACTACTATTAAGCATGATGTACTTGGGTCTTCTTATGTCACATTATTTATATAATTCTTTCTTAGAAATACTACTAGACATATGTATGAGATTTTTTTAGGCTTCACTTCTTTATAGTCAATTATTACTTTCTTGTGGAGTTTTCTAGATGTTCTTGTCAAAAGTTCAATTCTTTTAAACTTTTTCTTTTTTAAATTTTGATAAGTTGTTTAGCCCAATAATAAAATATACAAAATAAATAAAAGTTAAAATATTTTTTAGAAAATATTAAATTGAAAAATAATTAAAATTTTAGTGTGTTTTTGCATAAGCAGAATATGTCCGTGCTCAACACCAATTACTCTGGTGGCCTATGACAATACTTAAAAAAAAAAAGATAATGATACTTTGACAACATTTTAATATCATTTACGTATCATTCTGTGATTAGTCCAAAATTATTTCACAATCAATAATAATAATCATAAACACTAACATGGACCAATCACAGAATGACACGTAGGTTATGTTAAAATGTTATCAGAAAAATGTTGTCAAAGTATCATTAATGTCCAAATTTCTTGAAAAGCACAGCACTAAACATTTTCATATGGTTGAAAATTTAATGCGTAATAATGAGTGAAGAGAGAAAACAATGAGGTGTGATATAACAGTTGGGAAGGTCACCTAATCATTTCTTACGAATGGAATGAATATAAATTTTATCAACCATCCAAGCTCACCTCACATCGTATTCAACTAGTAAAGTTGTTACCTTTTTAATTAATTAAATTTAATATTGTATTTTAAGAAAAATGTTAACTAGTATCCTTAATGGCTAAGGATACTTTTTGCTGAATTTTCTATACTTTTTTTCTAGAACAAAAAATTGAAATTGTCCTTCTTATAAAAATCAATTCCATAAGCTAAAAGCAAAAATTTATATAAAAGAACTGTTGCAAATTATTTTATAAATAGCTTAATGTTAACTTATAAAAAATACTAATTTCATATAAATAGTTAAACTATAAATAGATATTAACTGCACTAATTACTAGTTTTTTTACCGTCATAACTACAGTTTTAATAATATAATAATTATACAAATGGGAAATCATATAAGAACTAATTAATTTTGGTTGTGAACAAACTAACTTTGTTGATGTTAAACTTATAAAATTAGCTAGCATCCGACAAATTTAGTTTATCTATAAATAAACTTGACCCTCATACATAACGCGAAACGAAATAAAAATGAAGTTATTGTAAAGTAACTGCCGGTGAAAATTCTTCTGACTAGTTTAATGGTTACGCAAAAATATATTATATGTCAAATTTGTTTAGTTAAGTATAAAACGATTAAAGTAACAATTATCAATTACAAAGTTATTAAAGAGGAAAATTTTGTTAAAAATTAATCTTAAAATACTTTGATTTTTCCTTTTATGTAATTTTGAAGTTAAAACAGAAGATAAAACACAAAAGAAGAAGAATTCAAACAGCTCTTTAGGTTGTGCTGTGCATGTGTGAAAAAGAAAATAGGATGGATAAGTTTGGCCCAGGCAGAAACCTAAAACCTTTACACCAAAGAAAATAAATATTTCTTGTGGTTTTAGACAACTATGTTTTCACGAATACTCATTCCTTACATAAAGAGAAGTAGAATATCATCATGAAAACTATATAACACAATAAATGTTCACTTAATTAATAATGGTAGATGGTTTATAGTAAATCTATAAAGGATTTAAAAAATGACATTATAAAAGTTGATACTATTTAAAATAGTAATTAAACTATTTTAATATTAAAATATTTTAATACAATAATTTTGTTACAAACTAGTTTTATTATTTTAAAATATATTATTTTTTTATAAATTACATTTTTAAAGTTCTCTTATTTATGTATAAAGATTTTTCTTTTTTATAGGTTTGAATATTAAAAACCATAGAGTGATTTTTATGTGAGCTCATTCACTTTCATATGTTTCTTTAGAATAAGTTGATTTTGTACACTTTCTTTCTTATGTTGTTGTTTTCTTTATTATACAAATTATATGAATGTACATCTGAGACATCTATAAGAGTTCTACTAATTAGTGATCATAAAGTATAATTATGTGCTATTGACTTAGACTTATCTGAATGAGTTACATGTTATTACTTAGACTTAGCTTTTGTACTTTCTTAAATTGAATCAAAGGTTTAAATCTTAATTAAATTTGTTGAAGTTTAAAATGTCATTTGCTATGAAGTTCTCTCTAATTTTGTTTCGAGTATGTTGAACTTCTTTACCTTTTTCATATGTGTATTTCATTACCTTTACCTTATACATTGAATTATACCGTTCTTAATCATCAATAACATTGATTTTATTTTTGTCTCTAATGTTTTAAAAAGAAGAATAATTGAAAGCTTTGGGACCTCACCCCACCAGGTTGGAAGGATTGCGACTACACTCCATCTCTATTAAAATTCGTCATTATTTGGTACAAATTCAATTATATAATGCTAAGTTAAACTTAAATTTGATATGATATTAAAAAAGTTATTCAAAATTTGTTTCTATGTAATCATGTGTATTAAATTTATGTATTACTTATTTTCATATTTTTCTTAGTCCCAGGACGTTATATTTATTTATTTCTATAATCATCGGATAACAACGTAAACCATACCCCAAATTTATAATACTTTAATTGACAATGAAAATTAACCAATAAGGAATCTTCATAAAAAATATTAAGTGTAACTCAATTAAAAATATTATTCAATGATATTTTATAAAAGCATCGCTAACATAGCTATAAATTATTACATTTCAGTTCACTTTCTGAATAACAAATTCATAACAGTCCAATATCTGTTAAAAGGTAATACTACTGGTTTCCTTTATGTTAATTCTTTAAGTTTTGTTTCATCTAAATCACGAAAAATATTTAATTAGCATGTATTGTTTTGAAATTTAAAAAATTACAAAACATAATATTTTTTATTGAAAAAGCCGACAATTAAAACAGGAATAGGTATACGTTGCAGTAATGCAATCGTAACGTCAATTTAATAATTCAAATTAAAATATTGCTTTGGTTCATTACCCATCAATAAGAAAAAAAAGAAGAGTAACTATTAAACCACACACAAAACTAGTCAATCAAATAGAATAATATAATATCAGTATTGTCCTTTTCACATTTCAACCGTTTACATTCCAACAGCACTGAACAATTTATCTGCAGTCGGTCACTTCTTGAAATCGCAATCATCAATCATTTACAACTATGAAGTAAAGAACAGAACAGGAATGAGCCATAAATTGGATCATCAAGGAAATGGAACAATAATCTATTTAAGTTCCGTTCAGTTGCAAAGATAGAAAGCATGAATAGACAGTTTTGAAATTTATACCAAAGAAAATATAGAAAATAATTATTTTTTCTATTTTCTTCTTATTTTGCTCTTCAATCAAATCAGATAAAATGTATGGTTATCCATTTCTTTCTCTAATTTATCTTTTATCATCCAAATCCTAACACTAACACAACATAAATAACATATCCCCACCCTCGACCACCTCGTTGTCCTCGTCAAGATTATAAAGTACATGTTTCACAGGTTGAAAAAATATGCAGGAGACCAAAATAAAGGATAAAAATTTAGTTACTGCTCCAAACAATGGCATGCCCGTCTCAAGGATTCACTGTTCTGGTTGTTGTCTGCAACTGCTGGCATAAGGAATATATCAGTTGGATTAACCTCTTCAGTTGTTTTGGCTGTCCAGCGTTCCCATTCCATGGCAGAAATTGTTTAGCAAGGACTCAATATGCTTCACTTCTTTTGGGATTGATGCTGTTAGGACCTGTGTAGTTTCCCAACAACTTAAATATCAGTTACTGATTAACTGTCACTAGTATCTATGCAGGACAAACCATCTGTAGATTTTGCAGAAAGAACACAAATTAAATGTTCTGTCTTGCTTTAATTGTCTAACATTAAGTTAACTAATGCGATGAGATAATTCCCACCATTAACATGGTCACACAAAAAATTAACGTGACAAGATATTACTTGAGAAGTAAAAAATATCGTAATAAGTTTTTTGTTGAAATGTTATTAATTGACTCCACCGTGATTTTCAATGTATTCTTAACATGAAATAAAGTGTTCATATATGAGGTGTAAGAACAACAATATACTGCAAGCGTTGCTCAGAGAAAATCACCGCAAAACATCTAAGAGACTGAAACTAAATCTAAGATCTCTCTTTCTCTAAGATCTTTCAACCCAAAGTTAAGGACTAATCCCTTTAAATATTGAAATCTATTGAAACAAATGACCTTTCTATATGGATGTTTTTTCACACACAAGTCTAATGATCAAACCTATAAAGACATGTGTAAAAGGCAAAAAAGGTATGCATTAATCATGTCACACTTTATTTACTTTTAAAGTTTCGTCTGATATAATGCTTGCTGGTTTATTTTGATACTGTTAGAAACATTGATTATATATATACAAACACATCTCTTTTTTAACTAAGAAGATTAGACCTTTTCCGTTAATAAAATATTATGAATACAAACTAGGAATTTCAAAATAATGTTTGCTTCAGGGGAGGGATGTATATATCGAATTGAATTTATTGAATTAAACCTAGCACATCCAAGTTTGTAAATATTCTAACGACTTAATTCTGATTGATTAGACGATAATTGATGGAGATTAATGACGTTGATTACTTTATAACGTAACAATATCCTTCAATTTATTGGTTTGTGATTTGACAAGTATGGCTCACAACTAACTGATTACTCATGTAATGACACTGTATAAGACGACCGTGTGTTACTAAGAAATTCTACCACCACTAATACATATACGGATTTCAGAGAGACCAGACCAACTTGTGAGAAGCAGCAATCCCTAAAATTCTTGACAACTCATCAAGGGTAATAAAAAAAAGTACCATAGCTGCGCCTACCACAAAATCATTAATGCTATGTTTGGTAGGGAAGAAATGAAAGAGAAAAGAGAAGATGAAATTAAATCGAACTGTATAATTTTAAAAATAGTAAGATTCACCTTATTATTTTTAATCTGCTTTCATTCATTTCTGTATCTTTACTTTTACGACTTGCCTATTTCTTTTTAACAAAAACATTTCAAGCTATTTCTCTCCATTTTTCCATACAGCTTTGACAAGTATGGATAATGATGCTGTGTAAAAAATCATTATCCGTTTTTGTCAGCTTTTAAGTCTCATATGCGGGAGTTTTTACCACTGAGCCTCCATTTGAGTTTTTTAGGTACTATCACAACACATTATTATCCAATATGTCCCCATTTATTTATGGAGTGAAATCGGCTTGGAGAGGTCGTGTTCGTAACATAAAAAAGGGGCATATTAGATAATAATATGTGAAGGAGGTCGCATTGTGAAACTCAAATGGCGCAAGTACTTACTTGTTTGTCTTTTAAGGATAAAGTATTTACTTGAACTCATCTATTGCAACCTCTTGCATCTTTCATTCATCATTCTAACGCTCAAGAGAAGCACAATTAGCAGATGACCTAGCTATCCCAATTTACATACTAGTTTCAATATTCAACTGCAAAACTTTAAGAGAAAATACCTCATAACCAGTTTCTGTGATGAGAACCTCATCCTCAATCCGTATCCCAATGCCTCGATACCTGCAATTGGACCTCTTCCAAGATTTATTATATTGCGCAGGAGACAAACATTTAATGTCTAGAGTGAAAACATCCTAAATGTTCATACGGAGTATACGTGGACAATTGTGAACAGGGCAGCGATTGACCAAAAAAGACATAACAAGTAGAATACAGGTGAGAGGAATAAGATCATATCATGCTTGCCCAAATGTCCAACTGGTACAACGATTGAAACAGATTAACTAAAGTAAGATTCTTAATTTACATATGAAAAATTTGAGCAACAAAAACGGACACATGTCTCTTAATGGCTTGAATAATTTAGGAAATATACATCTTCCCAACCTCCGGCNTTACTTGTTTGTCTTTTAAGGATAAAGTATTTACTTGAACTCATCTATTGCAACCTCTTGCATCTTTCATTCATCATTCTAACGCTCAAGAGAAGCACAATTAGCAGATGACCTAGCTATCCCAATTTACATACTAGTTTCAATATTCAACTGCAAAACTTTAAGAGAAAATACCTCATAACCAGTTTCTGTGATGAGAACCTCATCCTCAATCCGTATCCCAATGCCTCGATACCTGCAATTGGACCTCTTCCAAGATTTATTATATTGCGCAGGAGACAAACATTTAATGTCTAGAGTGAAAACATCCTAAATGTTCATACGGAGTATACGTGGACAATTGTGAACAGGGCAGCGATTGACCAAAAAAGACATAACAAGTAGAATACAGGTGAGAGGAATAAGATCATATCATGCTTGCCCAAATGTCCAACTGGTACAACGATTGAAACAGATTAACTAAAGTAAGATTCTTAATTTACATATGAAAAATTTGAGCAACAAAAACGGACACATGTCTCTTAATGGCTTGAATAATTTAGGAAATATACATCTTCCCAACCTCCGGCCCCACTGAATAGGACTGCAGATGAGAGTGGAATAGCCATATCCACTGCCAAGTGTATATGATTAAATGACTATTCCATTCCAGTCCTATAAATAAGAGTATAATAAAACGTTATTTATAACGAGATGGAGTTGGTGCAATGATAGTTGGGGGTTGAAGGTGGGGACCCTGATGGTCCAGCTACTGGTAGAAAGTGATTTTTCTCATTTTTAGGGAAAACATGGTATATAGAGGTATTGCAGTAAATCTTGATGGAACGAAATACATTCCTATTTTGGAGGGAATGGCTATTTCGTTTTTCTGATGGTACAAGAACACCCTAGACAGTGAATGAATAGTCTCATTGCAAAATTCCAAAATAAGACCTTAGGGATTGAGAAGACTGAGAAAACAGGGTAATTGGTGCTAAATCATCCTTGGAAACTATTTAATCGGGATACTCAATTCAAGCTTTAATAAACTGGAATACGAAACCAGATTCTTGGAAGGAGAAATGAAGGGTAAATTCGTGGAGCTAGTCAAGGCAAACAAACTCCTGTGAATTAGCATTCTTTAGTCGATTTAGCTGGTAAACCAGAAAATTTCCTTAGACCAGTAAGCAATGGGAAATCATCAATTCGGAAAAAACAGTTTGTAAAAAACAGCTATTTAATCAACCTTAATAATTACCTCCCCGGACCATTAAAAGAAGACGGGATGTACACTCCTGGTTCAATAGTTATTACCTGTACACAGACACACCACACAAATTATAAAAAAGAACAGGCTGTCTGCTAATATGGGTACACAGTGCAACTCTGAAGCATATGTCCCCATAAGCAGGCAATCAAAACTCCAAAAAGAGGTTATCTTGCTCAAAGAGGGTTAAAATTAAGTGGCAGGATTCACCTGCTTCAATTCACCACCTAATTCCCAGCCCAAAAAGATTATATTTGTTATTTGAGCCAGAAATTGTTATGTAGTTATATAACAAAATATGTGTTGAAAAATATCAACGAAGAGCCCTAGGCTGTAAATTTTAAAAATTAATTCAGTTAGCACTAGCTTTAACATATTTTTATGCAGCAGAGTTCTTCTGATAGCAGTTAGCTGAGAGCACGTATACACTTGAGAGAGAAATATGAAGCAATTACATCATCTCTTATAACTAATTCATTAATTAATAGAATTCATACACCAAAGATATCCAGAAAAGTAATGAAATGATCAACCTACACAGATCAGATAAGTAATACAATGTATAAGTTAACATATTCTAACAAGTTAGTGCATTCAAATAAATTAAACAAGTATGACAGTCCCCCTTAAACACAAACATATAGATTGTATGTACCAAACTAGGAACAAATAAATTTAATTTGAGATCCTCTCAAAACTTATTCAAAATATCTACAAGTTGATCATTGGAGTTTTGTGCAAATTTCCTTTGATAACAAGTTCTCTCAAACAAAACAACAATAAATGTCTACATTGGTTCTCTCACGAAAAATAGGATCGGTTGCAATGTGAATAGTTGTTTGTTTATCACAACAGTACATGCTCATTTGTTACATTTCACAAAATTTCAGATCTTGAAGGAATTGTTTAATCCACATAGGCTCACAAGTGAGTGATGACATAGCCTTATACTTAGCTTCATCAGTAGATCGAGCATCCACATTTTGTTTCTTGTTTTTCCAAGAAACAATACTTCCTCCAGTGAAAACACAATATCCACTAGTGGATTGCTTATCTATTGGAGATCCTAACCAATCAGCATTACAATAACTAGTCATTTGATTATTTCCCTTAAATATCCTTGTCATGGATTCTTTTTGATGTATATGAGGATGTGAATGACAACGATCCACTGATCTAGATGAAGATCCTACATAAATTTAGTATTTAATACAATGCAAAAGACAAGTTAGGTCAACTAATAGTGACATGAATAAATTTCCCAACGAGTCTTTTATATTCTTTTGGGTATGAGAAGAGCTCAATCTATTCTACAATCAATTTTTGTTGAGAAATCACAATACTTTCCTTTGATCAAATTACTTCAATACTGAAGAAGTATTTGAGACATCTAAGATCTTTGGTCCAAAAGTGATTGCATAAATGTTTCTCTAGCTTAAAAGTTTTAGTAGCATCATTCCCTGGAATGACTATATCATCAACGTACACGATTAAGTACACACATTACTCCATAGAAGTTGGACAATAAAAGACTAAATAATCTATTTCACTAAACCCAAAGTGCTGTAAAATGGCTGAATTTTCTATACGAAGCATTTGGTGATTGTTTAAGATCATAGAGAGATAGAGAGATTGGCGCAATTCACAAACTAACCCATAAGGTTGCTCCATGTAAATTTTCTCCTCTATGTCTCCATGAAGAAAGACATTATTGCTCCATGAATGAGTATTTAAAGTTTTTAAATTATCTATAATTCAATTTCTCCATAATCTAAATCAATTTCTCCATATATCTGAAACAATAATGGATTATAATTTTAGAGGAATAAGGCAAAGATATCTCCATTAACCACGTGTGACAAGTGATTATTAAATATTATCTGTCAGTGGTTAGTGGAGATGGAAAAAATTTGCTTTGTCAGGGAAACTACTTACAACACCTGGCTTCAGAGGACCGTCAAAGCTGACCATTGAACAATCATGGATGTCCATCCCTAGATAGTGACCTGGATGGACCAATAAAGTGTGATTAGATATATATCAGCAGTCGTACGAATATACATGACAATTATTTTTCTCATAACTACATATTGCACACTTTGTCAGCAAGCAGATATGAGCACATAGCTACCTATAGAAGTTGGGTTAAGCTTATGGTAGGAACTGCTTCCAACACCTCTCAAAATCCCAAGCTCTTTGAGTCCTTTTTGCAGCATTTCAACCTATGTAACCAGATCATTTCAGATTACACTTTGTATAACTTCAGCTAATTGAAATGAACAATAATAAAACATTCAAAAGTGAAAATTTTAAAAGTAAGATGACAATCAAAAAATAACGATGGGTTTGTGAAGAAGATACTCAGGCCACTAGCACACACTAATTACTGTTACTGGTTATAAGATGATGTTCGTCAAGCGCAAAGCAAATATTGAAAATTTTTTTGGTGGTGAATTGGGTGTTAATGCAAAATGAACACTTAAAAGAAAATATTTGATGATTAACTAAGTCAACATAAGTTCAGATCCACTTGAAATCTTGAACCAGAATACAGCTGAATTATAGGACAGTTTCAACAAGCCAACAACAGAAACCAGAGATAATTAAATTCCCTATGCTCTGTCTTTGGTATCTCCCAAACTGATCATAGAATAAAATAAGAATTAATCAAATGACAGTTCTAATAAGATTTACTGATGAGCTTCACATAGAAAGGGATATTTGGAGAATCCCATGCTTTACTA